GGCAGTTTTTGGCCTCAAACACCCTGGCCGTCATCCCGCACCCTCCTTATTCGCCGGATTTAGCTCCGTGTGACTTCTTCCTCTTCCCAAAGATGAAAATTCAGCTAAAGGGAAGGCGATTTGAGACGATAGAAGAGATTCAGGCAGAATCGCAGATGGTGCTTGACAGGCTGACCAAGAAAGATTTCCAGGGATGCTTCCAGGCTTGGCAGCGGCGCTGGGATCGTTGTGTTCACTCCCAGGGGAACTACTTCGAGGGTGATGGATGAATTTAATACCTGAGATAAGTGTACGGGTTTTTATACGCGCAGTCTTGAAACTTTCCGATCGCACCTCGTATTAGTTACTATTACAACTAATTCTGTAGTAATAAACAAACAAACAAAGAAACCCTGGACGCAAGTTGATGTTTCAGTTTCATTTCGATTCTTTAAGATTGGGGTCTGCAGTGGCCGCGCGGTCGCTGGGACCGTGGGTTCGAATCCCACTCAAGCCATGGATGTTGTGTTGTGCTGTCCTGTGTACAGGTAGAGGCCTTGAGAAGGGCCGAACCCTCATCTAAGGAGTCTATAGATCGAGCCAACGTAAAGTTGGGACCCGCAGTGCTCAGGAACTTGAAGATCGGGTCGTTCCCAGTATCTTTATCAGTAAATTGATATGATCTGGATTAGCCGCGTCAGAAGACGTATTTTTGAAATTACCCGCGGAGAAACATTTGTCTCACTGAAATCCACGTTCGAAAGTAGTTCAGCCAGATGTCACAGCTGAGAGGTTAGCACTCGTGTTTCGTATTTCGGAGTTTCTGGGTTCAGTCTCAGCCTGGATTTTGACTGTCTTTATTTTGGTTTTGAGGTTTTCGTCAGTCCCTCCAGGCAAATACCAAGGTATTACCTTAAATTAAGCTACAACTACGTCTTTGATATTCTAATTCGTCATCCATTAATCGTATCTTTTGGCGTTGTAATAATAGGAGTGTTACAAGGAAATTAAAGCTTTCGCTGTGACTGAGCTCAATATAACCTCCTCGGGCAACAAGCCGTGTCCATTGCGTACAAAAGCTACAACAGTTATAATGCATTATTAAATGATGTAACCCTCATACTTTCAAACATGTTTTATACGGGCATGTGATTATTATATACAGTATAAACTTTATACAGAATTTAAAATTGCTGAAACCTAACATGACAACCGTTAATCAGATGGTGAAAAATTGGAAAAATCTACCTTATGAATACCAAAGCGTAATTTTCGTAATTTTCTTCGCGGTGTACTATGGAAATTTTTATTCCAGATTAAATGACACACAACGCTTGTCTGTTGTAATTACTTCTTTATATGTTTACTAAAATCGAGAAAATTGTATCTGCACCCAAATGTTAATAGTGTAAATACTTCGGTTGTTATTGCTTTGAATTTAATTTTTTATCTTACTGCATCCATGGCGTGGCTTAAGAAACAAGCGCTGAGTACGCGATTTTTAAATTTTCAAGGTCATTCGAAAGTCATTTTTTGAAACGCGTATTTCTCCTGATCTGTAGGAATCTGATTGACAATATTCACGTCAGTTTGATGTCATGGAGCGGTAATTGCCATGCCAACGTCACGACAATATCTGTACGAGGGTTTACCGAGTAGAGGACTTTGAAATTTTCAAGGTCATTCGACAATCATTTTTTTCAAACGCGTATTTCTGCCGATCTCTTAGAATTTGAGTGACTATATTAATGCCAGTTTGAGGTCATAGATAGGTCAACGTCACCCCAAGTTCATGACAAGAGAAGTCCAAGGCTTTGAGGAATATAGGCCTTTAAATTTTTGAAGTTCACTTCAAGAAAAAAAATTTCTCGCTCTTATTTTTACCTACCGGTATTAATCTGAGTGACCATACCCACGGAAAGATTAATTTTATTTTTAAATCAGGGTAATAACATTGCAAAAGATGGAGCTAGTTGAGTTAGGTTGGTCTGCGTTAGGACACAGATAGGATTATTTTTCTAGTCTCTGCTACCAATGGGTCCACTCACGCCTCTCTAGAGCCGAGGTTAAGAATGAGTAGGAGTCATAATTACTCTCCCCCCGTGCGTCTACATGGCATGTAGCTGCTCAGGTTTACTTTTACTGTAATTACACACAAATTAAGAACGTTGGCAAACTCTTAAGTGGACCGCTTGTACATTTTCAATACGCGTGCAGTTTCAACAGAAGGTTTTGTTCATTATGTCCCGACATGCCCTACTTTACGTGACGGATTTCTGTCATTTTCACTTAAAGGTTCGTTGTACAAAGTTGGTACATACCATGAAATATAACGTGATTAAGATTTTTTGTTTTAAAATGTCGTCGAATATTCGAGGAATCGACGCAAATTGAATTCGATGTGGTGGTAATCGTATTGTTCGCTCTGTTATGCGTTTGGAAGGTGTTTATACTCACCTCAGTACTTTGTGTCACGTGGCTAATGATAAATATGCATTAGATAGTGACGAGTGACCCACATTCTGAAATTATCAGGAAATTTACGATTTGTTAGTGTCGATCTCCCTTTGCGTAACTTCGTCTTAGCGTTGCCTGTACCCGGCCATTATTTAATCCAGGGTTATCAACATTTGGATTACACAGGACCTTTGTGTTGTGAAGTTTATCAAAATTAATAATAATGATATAATCTTTCTATTCACAACAATTGAACTTTATAACTTCTATTTAATTCACTTGTGTTTCGTGTTATAAACCGACTTTTACGTCGTAATTTTTTTTACAACGGTTAGAACGCTGGCCTTGTAATCCTGGGGTCTCGGGTTCGATTCCCGGCGGTGCCCGAATTTATAACTTGTGTTGGGCAAGGCCGTGGTCTAGGCAACACGGAGTTTTCCTCCGTGGCATCCCAACAATTACCCCATTCACACACAGAAGAAGGCAATGGAAAACCACTTCTGGATCATCTGCCAAAA